ACACATAAGATGTATATACGTCACAATTACCAAAGTGGACACATAAGATGTATATACGTCACAATTACCAAAGTGGACACATAAGATGTATATACGTCACAATTACCAAAGTGGACACATAAGATAGTATATACGTCACAATTACCAAAGTGGACACATTAGATGCATATAAGTCACAATTACGAAAGTGGACACATAAGATGTATATACGTCACAATTACCAAAGTGGACACATAAGATATATATACGTCACAATTATCAAAGTGGACACATAAGATGTATATACGTCACAATTACCAAAGTGGACACATAAGATGTATATACGTCACAATAGCCAAAGTGGACACATAAGATGTATATACGTCACAATTACCAAAGTGGACACATAAGATGTATATACGTTACAATAGCCAAAGTGGACACATAAGAGTTGGAAAAGCATCAACGTAAAATGGACTACAAAAAAGTTGTTTTCAGCAAATGGACACCGAAAGTGAGTAGGTTAGCTTCATTTTTTACTAACATGCATTCAATGTTTCAAATGGAAAAACATTTGAGGAAAACGAGAGGGTACGATCGTCGAATTTCACGCGCGTCTGTCACGTGTATTGCTATGATACTGTTTATTAGAAACTTTCGATTCTTAGGCCTAATTAGTACCGAAAAGGGACAGTTTTTAATAGCTTTCCATTAACCTGCCTTACAGAGAAAGATCAAAGCTGTTTTAAGATTGAACTGTAAAGGTTAATCTTTACGTTAAACCAATTATCAAAGATGGAGCTCATGAAATATATCGTCAGCTCCAGATACAAGAAGAAAAGATGATAATTTTAGATAAAACGTTAACACAATGCTAGATTCTATAGAGTTTAGGAAAATCAAATGTTAACAGGATAACTTGGAAGTTTTAGGTTTTAGACGCACAATTTTACGAGCTTCAACTCCATAACCAATCACGTTCTTTAAATAAAACTTCGGTTATTAAATTAGGAGTACTCACAAAATACATAATTGCCGGTAGAATCAGGGGTCCTATATGACCAACGACCTCTGCAAGACCAAGACCACTATCTTGAAGCTCCAGAGGCATCTGTTCCACAGTCCAGACAGGCAGTATTGTGTAGCAAGTTGATATGGTGAGTTTACTGAGAAAGAATAGCGTCTTAGATGACTTACTTCCTGGAAAACAAAAGTATTTATATTAATGTCTACTCAAGTACAAAAAATTAATTAACTCTTTCTGCACTGATTTTTCCTTAAATGATTAATGTTGCTAACTGACAAGCGATGATTATTATAAATAAACGCAGTGAATCTCAGGTGTTTATCTAAAGTTCATCTTTAAGTAAAGACTAAATAAACCACAGAACTTATCTAGAGAACTACAGAACTTTTCTACAGTTAGACATACAAAACTACAGAACTTTTCTACAGTTAGACATAAAAAACTACAGAACTTTTATACAGTTAGACATACAAAACTACAGAACTTTTCTACAGTTAGACATAAAAAACTACAGAACTTTTCTACAGTTAGACATACAAAACTACAGAACTTTTCTACAGTTAAACATACAAAACTACAGAACTTTTCTACAGTTAGACATACAAAACTACAGAACTTTTCTACAGTTAGACATACAAAACTACAGAACTTTTCTACAGTTAGACATACAAAACTACATTATTATTACCATTACTTACCTAAGTAGAGAATGACTGAGTTACATTACCATTACCATTACTTACCTAAGTAGAGAATGACTGAGTTACATTATTAAGTATGAAACGTGTTAACTACATTACCATTACTTACCTAAGTATGGAACGTGTTAACTACATTACCATTACCATTACTCATCTAAGTATGGAACTGTACTATTCTATATCATCCTCCAATAAAACGAGACCACTCATAGTACTGACAACTGTAGTGATGCTTGTTGAGAAGCCTCACAGAAAATGTGACAATACAACAAGTTTATGAATCTACACGTTTAGGGAGGATTCTGTAAGGCCTAAAAAGTTTCGTGCTGAAA